TCTCAGACAGACAAGGGAATTAGCTATGTCTGTAGACTATTGTATGCTCCTACAAGAGAACAGGTCAATGTGCTGTGGACTTCCATCATCCCTTGTGTGACTACAGTGCCTCTCCAACTCAGAACTTTTCAGATTTTATGTACTGTTTGCTTTAGGGCAGAAACCTACATAGACAGTGAGACAAAAAGAAACAGACCTTCTAGCAGTAACATATTGCAAGCCTAGTAATACTTAAAAGAGTTGAAGAACCATAAGGCCCAGATATTTAAATTTCTCAGTGCTTTATTCCGTACAGAATCACAGAGTGGTTGACCTTTGAAGGGGCTTCTGGAGATCCTCTCGTCCGAATCTCTGCTGGAGCAGGCACAAGTACATCAGGTTGCCAGGGCCATGTTCCATCGGGTTTTAAATGTCTTCAAGGATGGAGAGTCCATAACACTATTTTTAAATTTTTTTGTTTTTGAGAGTGCCAAATGAGAATTTACTTCATGCCCATCAAGTCCCCTGTGACCTCCATTAGTTGATCCACTCACTTTTCCTTCCATGAGTTTTTTTTTTTTTTTTACTTCAGGAATTTGACTTTGCAGTCTGACTGTGTTTCCGTTTTGACTAACCTTCTTTACAACTTCTCTGCAGCTACACATTTCCAATTTCTTTTTTCATACATTATTTTCCATTCACACCTCCTCCCCCCACCCCCCCAAAAAAAAAAAAAACCAAAAAAAACCCTCTCTTGCCTCGTGGTTACACTTGGACATAGTTTATGTAAAAGAATATTTATATAAAAGAATAGTACAGAAACATAAGTAATGGTGTAGTGCAGGCTCCTGCAGAGGTGATGTACATGCTCATGCACTATTAAAGACAGTCTTGTCTCAGCATTTGTCTATTTTTAGTAACATTTGTAAATATATAAGTGGATAAATGGAGTGGAAAGCTTCTGGAGAGTTCTCTCTGCTTTTTGAATGACAACTGAAATTTTCTGTCAGTCCTGGCTGTAAGCTGTTTCACGCCATTTATCTTATTTTGTTAGAAATAATTTTTAAAAATGACAGAAGTCTATGTTCCATGTATACCTGTAACTATGGAAACCATGAAGTGATTAAGAGGAGTACAACTGATGCCTCTGTGGCTCATCAAGACAGCCAAATGTTCAAATAGTTAGACAAAACTTTTTGTTTTTAAGAAGGTTAGAAGAATATACAAAAATGATCTATAAAATAATGATTTCTAGTGTAGCTTAATGGTCTATGAAAAGTGGAGATTGATGTTACAAGAAATGTGACTAGCAATTAGTGGCTGCTGCATTATCAGAAATATACTAAGAGATTGAATGAAAATCAGGCAAGAGGAATAAAGTTGAAAAAGAAACTGATCTATGAGGAAAGAGTGAGACCAAAGCAGAGCTTTCTGAAGCTGTGATTGTTGCTGGGGCTTAGAATTCTCCCCCTGCCAAGGAAATAACAATAGCAAGGATGGGATTGGGTAGTGTGGATGAGATCAGTGAGGAAGGAGAGAAAATACAGAAAATGGATTTTAAATGGGGTAGGCTTAAATACAGAACCTGTGGAGGAATCAAACCATTGGGATGTTTGAGATTGCTGAGTTTCAAAAAAAGTTGCCTAAGCCTCCTCACGGTGACCTCTGGATAAATAAAGCCTGTACTGTCTGCTGCTCCATCATCTTTTCCTGAGGGTTTACTTTTTTTCCCAAGAAAGAAATTCTCAAGCCCAGACAAATCATTCCAAACAATTAATACTTCCTGAGTCTCTTTGGTTTTTAAAATCCAGGATAGTCTCTTTGATTTTTAACCCCTCCTTTCTCCTGGTATAACAGTCTCTCCTGTCTCCCTCCAAATTGTAAGTTTGTAATTTTTGATCATTTTAGTTAGAAGTAGACCTAAAGCCAGAGCTACAAGGGTGTGCAAGGTTTTACAATTTGTCCAAGCTGTTCTGCTTTAGGAGGTCACAGCTGTAACTAAGACAATGCAATTTTTGTAGTATGTTTTTAGTGGTGTGTAATAATTAATTTGTGTAGTAGATTTAGAAAAAAAAACTTGCGGGGGAGAATATTTCAAATTACTATATGCAAATGTGTCAGTGTGAATTTTTTAGACAAAAACTTCTCCACTAGCGATTTTGGTTTCTTCCTTGGATTCTGAAGGCATTCTCAGAGAAGTGCATTGTGATAGTGGCCAGAGCCTGGCTGTGCGCTGGTTTAGAGATATTATTTCATGTGATAACTTGTTAGTTGCCTGAATGTAACACTTCCAACATTCAGCTTGCTGCAGGTTTAATCTAGAGAACGTTTAATTTTTGTGGGAGTTGTTGGGAGCTTTCTGAAAGATTGGCGGGTGTAGTTGAGAGATTTTGGCAGCAGGGCATGTGAAGAAAGTCAGTTTTTATCTTAAAATGACTAGTAATGCTGTTGCTAGCAGCAGTGTCAACAAAACTGGCATAAAATACCCTTTTGATGTTAACTCCTTGAATCATCGCTCCACTGTGCCTTTTCTGCATCTTTCTGTTGGCAGTTTGCTTAGAAACTTGTGGGTTTAGAAACTTAGGCCAGGAATAAGCTGAGAATCAGTGTGTGAGCTGTGTGCTCACACATGGCCCTAAAAGCAGGCATTTGATGCCATTTCTGCTGCCCTGTGGTACATAAGACACACAGGTGTGGCTGGCAGATGTGGTTGGCAGGGTTATGCCCCCTGAAGAGGCACGAGGCAGCCAGGTGGGATGTGCTGACTTATCTCTGATGGCACCAGACCGTCACTAGGCACAGGGCTTCGCTTTATTGTGTCGTGACAGTGAGTGGATTCTTTTTGGATGGAAACTTAAATATCTGCCATGCCTATAGGTATTTTTGTGTAGACAGAAGAAATTTAAGCATCTTCTTCTCACCCTTATTTGTATAAGGATCTGATCTGGAAAAGATCTGCATGAGACCTGATTTGGAAAGAGTAAAGATCTCAGCTAACTCTGAAAAGCAAGCAGGAAAAGAGTAGGGAGTGTGCTCTCTAGGGCAAGTGGGGAATTCTGAGAAGGTGGGCTTTTAAGCGTCCTCAGGGATGCTCTCAGTCCAACAGGTAAATGGCACTGCAGCGGTTAAGGTGACATGTGGTTGTGTGAGCAGTGGGTCCTCCTTCCCTACGAGCATGTCCTGTGGCTGAATTGCTATGTAGATTCTGTGTTCCCAATAAAAGATTGCACTAATGAAGTATTTATAGGGCTTTTATAAAGCTGCCTATTTTGTGAAGCTTTTAAGAGTATAACCCCTTGAAAACTGCCATGCCTGTGCAAAATTTTATTGCATTTGTCCAGTGGGTTCAAACATTATTGGAGGGCGTGGGGAGAAAAAGGGGAAGAAACCAATCAGCTGTCAGCATAAACATCATTTTCTTGCCAAACTGGGATAAAAATACCAAGCTGAAAAACTAAGTTATGAAGAAAATCTGCTCTGCACAGGAAGGGAAGAACAGAGTGCTAACACGGCTTTAAGGTCACAGTCCTGAAATGTCTGAGGCCCGTGTGTCCCATAAGCATCGGTGTGGGTGAAGGGATCCTCTCCCTGCTTCAGTGTTCAAAAACATTTCTGTGCTAGTTCAAGGTACTGGTTTGGGTGTAATTTCAAGATGTAGTTTAACAGGGAACGGCAAGGCACTGCCGTAGAGAAAACATCCTCTACGCCTCACTTGTCTCTGTTCCTGGCGTGATTTCACTACTCATCATAGCCCTCCGTGAGAAAAAACAGAAGTGACAAAAAAATCAAACCAATTAAAAAATAAAGATAAGTTTCTTCTATGTTTTTAAATGCAAGTGGCTTCTGGGAGGACCTGACAGTCAAAGCAGAGGGTACAAGGGGATATGTGGTATGGGGAAACTGGGAGCAAGGAAAGGACAAACCCTCACAGGGAGAAAGAAGAGCAAGAGAGGAGGGAGGTGGGGAGAAGACCTTCCCTTTTGGTGACCAGGAGCCACTGGAAAAAACTTAGCTGTCTGTAAAATTTTGAAAAATCTATTTAATGAAAGCTTGGATTCACAAGCACATTTTCATTAGAAAGGCAGAGTTGTTTACTTATTTAGATTTTGGGCTAATGTAAGGATTCAAGTAGATTTTCAGCTTCATTTATTTATATTTTAATGAACTGGAGCCATCATGACACTTTAGCTAGGGTTTTATTACAGAATTCATTTTGATATAGCAAAAGCGATAAATGCAATGCCTTGTACTAATTTCATGGTTTGCTGCATGTTTTATGTTATCCCGGAAACATAGTCTAACTTAATTCTGTGAATGAATAGATTTATAGGAGCAAATTGGTAGCATTTCTTCCCTCTGACTTCCAAGAGATGGTTCGCGGGGGGTGGCAGAGCTCTGCTGAAGCTAATGGTGCCACAGGCTGAGAAGAGGCTCTGCCTAATTAGATCTGTGCGAAATAACGAGTGTCTTCTAGAAGAAGGTGGCTAAAAGAACATTAACAAAAGCAATCAGCTGGAAAGAAGCTGCGTATATGCCCTTCAGAAGGGAAATAGTTAAGATAGCGGGAAGGCTCCGCAGGGAATAGCCTGATTGGGAGCCCTGTTCCCTGGCTGGCAGCACGGAGGGGACGCGGGGTGCCTGGGGTCTGCCCTTTCCCAGCTCACCAAGTGGGGAGGAGCGTGCTCCGTCTGGGGTCTCCTCACCCTCGGGGCTGGGGTGAAGGATCTGGGGAGCTTGCTCTGGCTTCAGCCTTTGTTTTGCCTGGCATGTGTTAACAAAAATTGGGTACAAAATTTGTGTCCCTCCTAACGTGACTTTAGCCTCCCAGTGCATGTCTGGAAGTCTTGAAATGTATATTTGAAAAAAGCCTTTTTCTGCGTTCTAAATTGCGGTTTTGAAATATGTAATCATGAAGAAGTGTTCTTATTTTTGTAACTGAAAATGCTCTTTTTCTTTGTGTGTATAGTTGTATATATTGTTTACTATGAGCTCTTTCAAGTTGGAATTTCATGTTGTGTTAGTACAGGAATACTGTTCCTACTCATTGTGGATCACATTCAGCAGTACCCGTAAGAGTAAGTTTGAGGAATATTTTTTTCTGTGAATGAAACCCCCCCTATTCCACATGAAGGCAAGCATGGGATCCTTCTAGCATGCTTTCACGCAGCCTGTCAAGTTTCCCCGTGAATCGGTGTGGGAACTGCTGACCCACCTCTGCTGAGCCCTGTATGTGCCACTCTGGCTTTGTGATGGAGCGGTCGAGCCCAGACCCCTTTGCTATGCTGTGAAAGTGCACATTTCCCCACAGCCACGCCTATGAACCCTTTGAATGAGGAGCACCCCTTCACCGGTTCTCGTTAATAGCTCCCTGTGCATTTCACTGAATTTCACTGAATTTCTAGAGTTGGAAGGGACCATAGAGATCATCTAGTCCAACTCCCCTGCTGAAGCAGGATTGCCTAGAGCTTGACCCGGGCAAGGATGCAGTAAAGCAGAAACAAACCCAACAGCAATACCAGGCTCTGGGTGCGTTGAACGACTCCCTGCAGCGCTGCGTCAGAGCTCTCCACCCAGAAAAAAATACACACAAACTAGTTTTGAAGAGACAGGCCAGAGTAAAATTGTCTAATGCTCTTCATTTCACTGATGCATCGAGTGGAGGTCCAGAAGCCACATTAGAGAACTGTAATCCTTCATCAGAGCATTTTTTTAGTTGCCTAACATCTGTGGATTGTTAAGATAAGTTATTACACAGACCTGCTTTAGTTTAGATTAGTTTGGACCGCATCCCAGTATATTCAATCAGGATATAATTCCTGCATGCTGCTAAACTGCTTGCTCCACGTATTTCTCTAAAAATGTTTTTCAGTATACGGTTTTGTCGCTGAAACTGTTCTGTCACCTCAAGTTTTGGTTGTTATTTTTTCCTTTTAAAGAAAACCGTTTATTATTTTTCCTTTGGGACCGAATATATCTCAAGGCAAAGGTAGCATTTATTAAGTCCTGAAGAGGTTCCTAAGCAGGGATGGTAGTGTAGCTTCTATGTGAGTATAACACAGAATTCCTCTCTGTGTAATCTGTGGTGACTGGTGTGTATTGTGTCCAAACTGCAGTGTTTAAGGACAGCCGTAAGAAAATGGGTTTGTATTTACATGTCTAGTGTTTCTTCTTTCTGCATTCTGTATTTTTGTGTCTATTTGTGTGTTAGCTGTTCCTATTTGTTTGGATCTCATGACATTTTGCATAAAATGAATTACAATATCAAAAGTGATTATGTAAATTAACGGTAATTTCTTGACGTTTATTACATACTTTATACATATTTTAAATGATCAAATACATTAAATTGTAAATGAAGTCTGTTACCATCTCTACATTTAAATGTGCTTGCATACATACACACATATGTAATTTAATTAGAATATTTAAATTTTACTTCAGTATTCCTTATCCTTCCTGTAAACAAACTGTAATTTATTTATTTTTTTATTAACACTTTTTTCACCTTTCCCTGTAAATTGATAAAATACAGGCAAAGACATATTTTTCATTAATGGCTTTGGTTTATAGCGTTGCCATAGATTTTTATGGACAGACAGGTGCATGCACACTCCTGCTCTCTAATCCACTAGCAATTGTGTCAGAGTCTATAAAGACATGGGGTTTTTTAAATACCTGTAAAAATAATAGCAGATAGACCAAAAATCTATTGTATTAGAACAGATAGCCTGGTAAACTGAATCTGGTTTGTGAGGTATACTCCATGAAGGAAATAAGACATTTTGGAATCAAGGGATTTTTTTTATTAAAGGACTAGTATTTATTTTGTCGAAGTTGCTGTTCCTATTATCCTACTGCGGGGGTTTATCAGAATATCAGTTTTTATCATAACACAGTTTGTGCCGCTGTTGGAATAACTGTAGCTTTGGATAAAATATCTATTAAAATTTTAATTAATTTTAATTATCTTTCATAAATAGGAGAAATATAACAGTCATCTTTTGATAAAGGCACAATCCAGGGAAAAGAGTTGGATGCCTTCTCAGTGGGGTTTGGTCAAAGAGTAGAAATGGTATTGGAAGTTCTGATGTATTCTTCATGCCTAACCAGATAGTCTGTTCTAGGGTGCTTTAAATAAATCTTAGTTACGTTAAATATGTAAAATACCTAAATTTTTCATCATGCTATGTAAGCCATGCTCTTCCTCCCCAGGCTAGAGAATAAGAGAACTCTGTACCAGAGCTTTGTCCTGTTGCACCTTCTTCCCTGAAGTGATTGTTTTTTCTGTTCCTTTTAAGTGTTGTATACTTTTGTGACTGTTGCATCATCCCTGTGTTTACACAAAATAATTCAAGCATATTTTTCATTCCAACTTTTGCCATCCTTCTTACCCTCTTTACAGTTTTACCCATTCTTTTACTTCTTTCCACATTAAACTAAAAGAGCTTCCTTCCCATTTTCCTTATTAGCTGTCAGCTTCTTTTCCTCTCATGTCTCTCTGACAAAATTCCCATCTCTTGTATATTCTTCATGCATTTTTCCTTTTTTCTGCCTCAAAACTCCTTTTGTCTTTGTCTCACTTTGTCTTCTTCAATACTCACACACTTTAGAGTCCTGATTAACCTTTTTTTTTCCCTCTGGTGATATACTCCTGTACATAATACTGTCTTGTGCTGTATATAGACTTGAAACATAGAGTCTGACTTTACTGTCTGTGCTCCTGTTTATCTGTATATCTGGAATTAAAAAAAAAAAATTAAAAAAATCCTAAGAAGCACTGTTTATGTACACAGATTAATTGTGTTTGCCAGGGACACGTTTAGTTTTCTATATATTATCTACAGCTCTAAGTCAAAGAGATGGTAAATGATCATTCCCAAGTAGTAGAAAATATGGTATTTATGCATTCTTTTCATCAGTGCTTTTAGCTCTCTATTAGTAGTTTTCTTTAGGTCTTACCTTACATCTCTGGTAAGTAGTTGTTGTGGATGTAGCTAAAACCATGTGCAGTGAACACTGAATTTGCTTGCAGGATAACGTTGAGTTATGTTACGTGAGAAATACTAATTAAAGGGCAATAGCGTGTCAGTTTTCTGGTGGGGTGGAGGTCGGGAGTTAGCCGGGCAGGACTCTGCCACCGGAGGTACATGTCCCCTTCCCAGCCTGGCAGGCTTGTCCTCTTCACTCCTTCCCCACGCGGTGGGCACGGGCTCGGAGGAGAGCTGGGCTGGGGAGAGCATCACCCGTGGGACTGGCCTGTACGGGCAGCATCTTTGGGAGAAGCTCGCGCAGCATGTGCCTGTAGGATGCTTGGCTCCAGGCAGGGCAGCCAGTGCTTGGGGGAGCATGTTCTGGTCCTGTCGTGAGCACCAGCCTCACCAGGTTAGAGAAGAGCCAGAGACCGTACCTGCTCGGTGGTAGGGAGCATGCCTTCCGGGGGCTGAGGGCTGGCTGCGCTGACTCTTCTTGTTGTCTTCAACTAGGTTATGTGGGTATGCAATTTATGTCGAAAGCAACAAGAAATCCTAACGAAATCCGGAGCGTGGTTTTTTGGAAGCGGACCGCAGCCCTCGCCCAGCCAGGACGGGACGCTGAGTGACACGGCGACTGGAGGAAGCTCGGATGCACCGAGAGAAAAGAAAGCAAGGCTTCAAGAGCGATCGAGATCGCAGACTCCCTTAAGCACAGCAGCTGCCTCATCACAGGAAATCTCCTCTTCCAGCGTGCCCTCCGACCGCAGGAAAGCAGCAGAGGTGTCGCAGCCGGCGATGGGCCTGGACCAAAAGCAAGTTTCATCAAGGTCTAGAAGTGAACCTCCAAGAGAGAGGTAATGCTCTCTGGCTTGACTGAGCCTCCCAGTTATAAATGCTAGTTCAGTAGTATTACACAAGGCTGTCAGCTGGGCCTTTTGCGTGTCTAGAACCATGTAAAAACAAAGAATAAGTTCATTTACTGTCCGGGGGAAGGATAAATCTTCATTAGCAAATATATTGTCTGATTTGGTCTGTGCAGCTGAAATGAGGAAAAAAAATAATCATTGTATTTTATGCATATTTCCATGTGCTACAATGCATTTCGGTGTAACTTTTAATGTTGAATTATGGGTTACTTTTAAATTTAAAATTTGGTGGGTATTTTAAAGTTAGCGTTGAGCGCCAGGAGGGGCTGAGGGGCGGCAGGTCAGGGAAGGACGAGGGGATGAAGCAGCGGCTGCTGTTTTGGCTGCTGCCTGGCAGATGGCAGAGCAGTTGGGGAGAAACCTGTGGCAACAAAACAAGGGTCTGCCATGGAAGATCCTCCTTTGGTTTATTTTTGTGTTTTTTTCTTAGCTATTGAAGTTGAAAATGGATGCTGAACAGTGGCTAGTAACTTGCTATGTGGGTGAGGTCTGTCTGGGTTTAACTGTACCAAAGCTCAGCCTCGTGTGATGTGTAAGTGTGCTGTAAGCAAACACATGGGGCCCTCCCCTAATTCTATCCACTTTTTCCCCAAACACTGGCCAGGCCCCCAGAGAAGCTGTCACTCAGCTGGAAGACACCTTCAGGGCAGCAAAATGCTTTCTATTTCTGTTTTTTCTGCCAAAAGTGAGATGGTTATATTAGTTATACAACAGTAATGTTCTCTACTTATCTTTGAGACTTTCAAATGAAGTTGAAGGGTTCTGAATGGAGAGCTTCTGTGGGAAGCTCAGGTCCCACTTATTGCTAAAAACTCAGGAGGAACAGGAGGTGGAGAAAAAGGAGCCAGGAACTTGGCTTGGATCATATCCAACTTTGCCTGTCCTGTAGGGCATCAGTGAAAAGCTGTGATATGCAACTCGAGGATGTATCAGCTGTGGAAGAGAGGACTCAGTGCCCTAAAACAAAGTCCTGGTGACTTTGTCCTGGTGCAGGTTCATCTCAAATACAGTGTACAGGTGTGTTCAGTGTTCTTCAAAATCAATGGATTCATATGTGAACTGGTAAACAAAACAGCAACTGCAATGATGAGAGAAATTAACATGTCTGGTATAAAGGGATTTTATGTTTCTTTGGCTTGCTTATTCTCCCAAAGCAGAAGATGAAAGAGGAGAGAGCATAATTTTCATGCAGCTTCATTATTCATTGTTTTGTACTTTGGCTGTATAAAGAAATAAATTACATTTTTCATCTTCTTTTATTACCAGAGGAAGGAAGTCCATTAATTTATCTCAGGGAGTCCATTTGCTTTTCTTTATATGCTTATGAAATGGGCACTTCTGTCTAGAATTTTAATAAGATAAAGTAGACTAGGTCAAATATTACTGTTTCTGGATATATCCTCTTTTGCACTTTTTAATATCCCTATAACTTCTTTCCATAATGCCCCTGTGGAGATACTCCATTTGGTGGTGTTTATATCTCTACTGTCAGGGTGCTTGAGGTGAATTGTATGGTTGGGCTGTAACCCTCACCATCGCTGCCAGAAAAACAGAGAACGTACTTTGTCTTAGTGCTGCAGTTACTACAAACATGACTCTGAGTCTTCCTACTTTCGTGGGTAAATTCTTTTTATCTGCATTTATCTATGTTAATATAATTTGTGATTTTACTATTTAATTGGACCATCAGTAATCTACATTTTTGTGGACTCCGGAAGTTGTTTGCTCTTGGGAAATACAACTGGAAGGATAAATAGATTTCATTCATATTAATGGATTCAGTACCTTCCTATAAGTTTTGTCACAGCTTATCCTACTTTATAATCTATTTACTGTGTAGTGTATGCAAGTGTTTTTATTTTGCATTCAATTCTTCCAAATATTGTACTCCTTTTCATTGCAGGAAGAAGACGATATTGGTTTCAGACCAGAATGGCAAAGGTTTAAAGAGTGAGCGAAAGCGTGTGCCAAAATCCTCTCTCCAAAAAGAAGGGCCAGCAGATGACAGGGAGCGTAAGGAACGGCACGAAGGCAGAAGGCTGGAGAAAGGCAAGTCACAGGACTACCCAGACTTGCCAGAGAAACTTGAGGAAGGCAAAGTGCCTGATGATGAAAAGCAAAGGAAGGAAGATGAGTATCATACCCGTTACAGGAGTGACCCCAATCTAGCAAGATATCCTGTAAAACCACATCCTGAGGAACAGCAGATGCGCATGCACGCCAAAGTTTCTAAAGCACGGCACGAGAGAAGACACAGTGATGTAGCTTTGCCACATACAGAAATGGAGGAAGCGGAGGTACCTGAGAATAAATTAGGAAAACGCTCACAAGTACAGGGAACTCAGGACAGAAAGTCTCTTGTGGAAACTCAGAGGTCGTACTCTATAGACAGAACAGGTGATGTAAGAATTTCTGTTTCTAAACAATTAACTAATCATAGCCCACCAACTCTCAGGCATAGTCCAGTTCCTATAGAACAAGTAGAATACAAGAACCACGATTCCTTTAAAAAACAGAGCCGCCTTGATCCTAGCTCTGCTATTCTCATGCGAAAAGCAAAGCGGGAGAAAATGGAGACCATGCTAAGGAATGATTCCCTTAGCTCTGACCAGTCGGAATCAGTGCGGCCATCCCCTCCAAAGCCTCATAGAGCAAAAAGAGGCGGAAAGAAAAGGCAGATGTCAGTTAGTAGCTCAGAGGAAGAAGGGGCATCAACACCAGAATATACTAGCTGTGAAGATGTGGAGATAGAAAGTGAAAGTGTCAGTGAAAAAGGTAAGGACCTTTATGTATATTATGCACATGGCCATGGTTTGGAAAAAAAAAAAATTCTGTATTTTTCTCTCTCTTTTGCCTCTTTTTTAAACGTACACCTTTGTTTTTCCCCTTGCCTTTCTTTTTCTTTTTTCCCCAACTGAAAAGTGTCTTACACCTGTTTACGTTTGGTTTGCAATATTTCCTTTTGCATTTTTAGATGAGGTGGTTATGGGTAGCATCAGCTGATGAGCTTCTTTCTCAGTCTCTTCCCTTTTTCACCTAGAACTGACAGAATTTAAGGGTTCTAGTTTATTGTCTCGATGATATCTGTGCTCCCTTGGTCATCGCTTCAGCCTTTTGTCTGTACGCAGAATAATTTTCTGTGAATGAGTGGAAATGGAAAGTGAGTTCTGTAACAATATAAGAAGACCATTATAAAGCATAATAATACTACTGGTACCTCAGTCTTAAGATATGCCAAATTTTACTATATTTAATAAAATATCAAAGCTCTGCCAGAGTTCATTGTTAACAAGGTCAGGACGTGGGGCAAGGGGCGTGTTATATGGGAAAGAACTGAGAATTATCTAACTCGTTGTCTAGATGAATTTGCTCCCAAGCTTACAAGTATGTTTAAAACCTGTTATTTTAGTTTTTCTTCATCTGTTGATGGTAACACTCAGCAGTAAGGAGTAAGTGTAGTACACTGTGTGCTTTTAAACAAAGCCTTTCTTCTTGCTGGAGAAGTTAGCCAAATTTGGGAATGGTGACCAGATAAAATAGGCACTGTCAGAAAAGACTGTGGTAGGACCTACTAACTGTTTTATAACTAATTTGTCTCTAAGTGAGACTACAGTAAGTGGAAGGCTTTTTGTGTCTTTGGAAATAGCTTTTAGCTCCTTAATTTAATTATCTGTGTCTGTAACTTGGAAGTTTTCTGCTGATGTTTATACTCAAAATGCCACCGACTCATCCACATTGCCTTTTAGTTCCTGGCACTATTTCCTGGTGTGTCTTTGATTGATGTATGCTAACCTCTCTGTCTGTCCTTATCTGCTGTTGGGGTCTCCCGACATGCCCTATAGCTCCAGCTATGCATACAGAAAGACACAACATTTTTGTCCCATCCCAGCTGAATAGCTGCTTGTTTTACCTTTCCAAGTATGAACCTTTCCCTTCAAAATACGGATGCTTGCTTTTCTGCTCATTTTTAAGGAGGAATGATGATCATGCCTCTGAGATCTTAATCCAGATTCCACTTAGACATTAAAAAGCCCTCACCTTTTTGACTGGGGAGGGGTTTAAGCAGTGGAACGAATCACACAGTGATGTTGTACAGTCTCCATCCTTGGAGATGCTCAAAGCCCAGATGGAGAAGGCCCTGAGCTATATGCTCTAGCTAACTTGCTTTGGAACAAAGGGGTTTGAACTAGGGATCTACAGCGGTCCCCTCCAGTCTCAACTATTCTGTGTTTCTAAGAGAACACATCTCTTTCCCTTATTTTGTGGTGATGCTTTATGCTGACATTTGGATTTGTGTCATTTTCCCTGACTTCTTCTGATGGTGGCAGTAGCCTGTAATATAGCGTTTCCTTTCCATCTCTGTTATTTGCTTTTGTTTATGTTCATCAGTTTGAGGTTGCTTTTGAAGTAGGAAGGTTTTCCCATGCTCAGTGAGCGGTATCATTATAAACTGGAAGGTCATTGATGTGAAAGTGAAGTCCAGGCTGAAAGTCATTGCTACTGCTATCAATATGTTGATATAGTTTACTCTATAATGCTCCTTTGTAACTAAAAATTTTGGATGGTTCCTTTCAGGCTCACAACACTGATTTCAGCTTTTGACCAATTTCCTGTTGTGGTGTTAAACCATGAAGGGTTGTACTTTTTGTTTTGGTGTTATCAATACCAGAGGATTTCAAAACCTCTGAAACCTTTGCTAAATTTTTATGTTCTTGATAACTGAATCAAGTTTGCAGTTACCTCTGAGATAGATATTTAGGCTCCCCCTTTAGACAGTCAGGGCCATGGTCTGTATCATAATACATTGCCACCTCACTGTATTACAGAAAGGCATCTAGGAAGTGTGAATACAAATGAGAAAGCAGAAGCATTTTTGGTAGTAAACTATCCAATTATTTTTAGAATCAAATCTTCATCAGTACCTGGAAAAATCTGTGGTGTTTCATAAGAATAGATTGAAAGGCAGAAAATTTTATTACCTAAGAAAATCTTTTAGAAATACTTTGATATTTTAAAGGAAAAAATGCCACAGTAAAAGGCTGTAGTGTTAAAATATTGATACAAATAATTAAAAACTGCCCCTATTGTAAACAAGGTAAGAATCCCATTTTTTGCAATTTAGCAGCACCATTGCAAACAGAGTTTCACCCACTGTTCCTTCAGGGCTTTGCTGGCAATGTGGGGGAGGAACTGCACAGGTCTCTGGTTGCAGCAGTTTCGTGTGTAAACCCAGGAGGGTCTGCAATCCGTCCTCTCTTACCTAAACATCGGCTCAGTCAGATGTACTATTTTCAATTCAGTATTGAACTAAAATAGAAGTTTTCAGTGTGCAGAAATGTTTAAAATAAAATGATGCCCCATAGAAATGTAAGGTATAGGTAGAGTGGATAAGACTGTATTGAAAATCAATAGCCAAAAATGGCATATAAGGTAGATACTGTGAAAAAGTTACTTTTTAACATTTGCGTTCCCTAGAAACACTGTTTGGGATTGCATTACCCTGTCTTCTGAGCACAAAAAAACCCTTGTGAAAGTGGTATTCTTAAATACAAAGTGAACTAATATAGCCAGTACATCCCCTGGTATTTCCTGTAACCATTTAATATGTATTTCTGCAAAATTATTAATGGAGTAATTCGCAAGCACCGGAGATGCTTTCTTTCCAACAAATAAATGTCTTTTGCAATCCCCTGGGATTTTGCCTCTTTGGTGGAGGACCCAGAGATTTATGTTGAGTTGTTTCCATGTTGGAATAAATCTAGAGAAAGACCAAAAAAGGTCATCTCAAATTTCTTTTAAAAAAACAGTCTTCACTCTTTACAGGACACTATTACTGATTGCTGATAATTTTTTTCCTGCTATTATTAATATAGACTGCAGGAGTCCTTATTCTGAAGTCCATACCAGCTAAACATTAGGTGGACCGAGTTTCTGGCGACAGCGCTGTTCTGGCCAGGCAGACCTGCTCCTCTTCAAGGGCAGAAGTTGCCTTCATACTTGCTTCAGAGTATTATTACAAATGAAATGCAGACCTCAGTTTAAAACTGAGCCCAGCTTCTGCCTGCTGCCGTCCAATGAAGAATGCAAATTAGATTTGTAGTAAGTTTGAGGAAAAAGTACTTTCTTTAGAGGTTAAAACCAGGAATTTGTATAGAGCTAGTATATTTGTGTCCAGATGAGGTTGTGGGTGACTTCTTTCATCCTGTGGTAGATACAAGAGTTATTCTAGGCTACTGTCATGTAGCCTTTGAAACTGGAAGATAAAATAGTGTTGGAAATTGGAACGGCGTGAGGAGGCACCGAAAGCTGCTTATGTACTTTTATGCAAATAGATGTGCTAATGATTTTACATTTTGCATACTCATTGTTCATATTTGCCTAAACGTGTATTTTATTCACACCATCAGGGTTGAAAACATACCTGATACTCGCATGTTGTCAGCAAAATGGTAAAAAGCTAAGTAAAGCTCATTTTGTGTACTTGCTAATGGATTTAATTGGGGGTGAGGAGAGTATGATAGTGCTGGAGTCCTGTTACAAAAAAGCCTCCTGAGATGCCATTCCAGTTACTGTCTGTGGAGCTGTGAGCATTTCATTCATGCCTTTCTTACGGTGTTGGGAGGAACAGAGCGACCTGATTTCATGTGTATAAATGGAGCACAAAAAAACATCAGGGAAAGGATATAGAAAAGAAGTGGCTTTAAATGTTTTTAGCTGGGTGTTTTCACTGAGGTATTTTAAATCTGGAGTGTAGGCAAGTCAAGTTGTACTGTAACATCTGCCAGCATATTTTAACATCTGTTCGTGTGAAGAGTTGGGCATGGAGCTGAATTTGTTTTAAAACGTGACTGAGCTTTACCTTTTTGTAAAATGAAATACCTTTGCTGGGAAGATTGTTAGTTCTTAGAAATCAGTTCCAATTTATCTTCTAGCCCTTGGGCAATAATTTAGATCTACATCTGATTCAGATGTTAATGAAAATATAACCTAAAGTGGTTCTAGCTTCAGAATTTTGGTCAGTTCTAGCATTATTCAATGCAATCCATATTTAGTACTTTTGAGTAGCTGAAATTATTTACGGTGCTTATGGAGTTGTAAATAAGTACTTATTAAATTAGTGTTGGGTAGTAAGAAGCCGGTCTTGTGTATAAGAATTCTCTAAAGTGCATACATGCATATGCAAATGAAATAAGCTGAGCATGAGTGGGAAAATACTGTTGCCAAGAGCTCCAGCACTTCACTGAGATATGTAGCCATATAAATGGGAGTGTCATGGAAGACATATGGCCGAATTCTCTGTTAAAATCCCCATTTCTCTAGTTTACCCGAAGAAAGTTGTGAATGTGCTGGAGGAAGCTCACAGAAAAGCAGCGAGGTTGACCGAGGTCTATAAAACACAATATATAAGGAAAATTGGGATGGATTGAGGTTGAATCCCAAGAAGGAAAGAAAAAAAAAAGATAAGAAAAAGGAAAAAAAAAAAGGGGGAAGAAAGGCAGGGAGGCAGGACTGGGCCTTAAGTGGGAAAGAAGAAAGTGGAGGGAGAAAGAGATGGAGTGAGAGCTTCTCTCTTCCCCTGGAGAGTCAGTTGAAATAGAGGATCCTTGGAAATAAAAATAGATTTCTAAGTCGCCTCACTAGCACTGAAATTACTCTACGTTAAACCCGCTGCTGTTGTCCCTGCAGCAGGCTCTGGGCTGAGGTGGGGAGGATGGGGGTTGAACCCAGAGTAATCCAGACTGTAAGTCATCCTTTGGTCACATGTTAAGTAACGA